CTTATAGTTTCCAGTGGTTAGCCTGTATTACAGATATCTTCATCTTCACAATTCTGTTCTCGATTCTTATTATTGCTTTCTACTAAAAGTAAGAAATATAAAAAGAGCCAGTATTTACCTTTACTATTCTTTTAATTTACACATTTTTGATACCAGAACATTTTTTAAAGCCTGTAGAATTCAGAGATCATTCACATTCTATTTTTTTACTTTAAGTATTATTGGAGAGGGCAGTTTTAGAGAAATAGTCATGTGAGATTAAGTATGAGAATAAAGATAAAAATTTACACATTGAAAATGTTTCTGTTTCCCAAATGCCTTCATTTAAGTAATTTGTCGTTTCCCTAATGGCAGAGAAGACAGAGTGTTCACCTAAAATGCAGAGCATATAAGAGTGTTTTTTAGTTCTCTCTCAGTACCTTCTGTATGATTTTTGAAATGATTCCTGGTACCTTCCATTTGATTAATCTGATTCTTGGATTAATGGCTTTTATATTCCCTTCCCTTACTTTCATCTCTCTATTTACTTATAAAGTAGAGAGACTGTTAGCATGTTTAGAGATATGTTTTACTTCAAATTGCAGTAACTATTAAGTCTCCCAAGACTTTACTTCCCTTGTTTTTGGTTGTTTTTTTTTTTTAAGTTCATTTAATTATTTGAGAGAGTGCGAATGGGAGAGGGACAGAGAGGGAACCCCAAGCAGCCCTCAGCCCCTCACCACTGTCAGTGCAGAGCCCAATGCAGGGCTCAAACCAAGGAACCGTGAGATCATGACTTGAGCTAAAACCAAGAATCGGCTACCTTACCAACTGAGCCACTTGGGCTTTCTGCAATTTTTTTCACATTAATTTTTATTTAGAAAGGACTGAAGTAATTCTATGTAACAGAAGTAATATAAACATTAAGATCAATCTAAATGAGCCAACTTAGTGCATATTCGGTAATGGTTTCTGTAGCAAGTATAACTATATTTTGTGTGCATAGAAAATACGGAATAATTAATACCATAATTTATACTCTGGCATAGGTCCTGACACTTATGTCTTAATTTGGCTTTTTTGCTATTAGCATACTCTTCTCAGTTTCCAAATGCCACAAACGTTTTTTACAGTGGCTTTTGTTAGACTATTCCTTTATCAAATATGAACATATTCTCAGCATTATTATTTGTTTGTATTTGCAAAGTAAAGCTGCGTTCCCCACCCACTCAAATGGCTAAAATAAAAGGAGATAGTAACAGTTGTTGGTGAGAATGTTGAGAAACAGGTACCCTCATATATTGCTGGTGGGAACATAAAATGATGCAGCCACTTGAAAAACAGTTTGGTAGTTTCTAAAAAGGTTAACATGTATTTACCATATGACCCAGCAATTCCACTTCTAGGTATCTACCTGAGAGGAATGAAAACATTTACCTACCATAAAGACTTGCATGCAAATGTTCTTAGCAGCTTTATTCATGATAGCCAAAAACTGGAAATAATCTGTGTCCATCCACTGTGAACAGATAGACAAAATGTGGTATATCCATCAATGGAATATTATTCAGCAATAAAAAGAAATGAAGTACCAAGGAACCCTTGTGCACTGTTGGTAGAAATGTAAATTGGCATAGCCACTGTGGACAAACAGTATGGAGGTTCTTCAAAAAATTAAAAATAGAACTACCCTATGACCCAGCAATTCCACTGGGTATTTACCCAAAGAAAACAAAGACACTAATTCAAATAGATCTATATACCCCTGTGTTTATTGCAGCTTTACTTACAAAAGCTAAGATACGGAAGCCACCCGTGTACCCATCAATAGATGAATGGAAAAAGAAAACACACACACACACACACACACACACACAGGCACGTGCACTGGAATACTACTCGGCCATAAAAAAGGAGATCTTGCCATTTGTGACAACATGCATAGACCTAGAAGGTATTATGCTAAGTAAAAGAAGTCAGAGAAAGACAAATACCGTATGATTTAACTTCTATGTGGAATCCAAAAACAAAACAAACAAACAAAAATCCCAGGGTGCTTAGGTGGCTCAGTAGGCCAAGCATCCAATGTCAGCTCAGGTCATGATCTCACAGTTCATGGGTTCAAGCCCCACATCAGTCTCGCTGCTGTCAGCACAGAGCCCACTTCGGATCCTCTGTCCCCTCTGTTCCTGACCCTCCCCCCCATCCCTCTCTCTCAAAAATAAATAAACATTAAAAAATATATTTAAAAAATGTTTTTAAAAAAGAAACACTTATAAATACAGAGAACAAAGTGGTGGTTGCCAGAGCAGCGAGAGTAGGGAAATGGGTAAAATGGGTGAAGGGAAGTGGAAGATACAGGCTTCCTGATATGGAATAGATAAGTCATGGTTATAAAAGATACAGCATAGGAAATATAGTCAATGATATTGTAGTAGTGTTGTACAGTGATAGATGGTGAGCATACACTTGTGCTGAACATAGCATAATGTATAGAGTTATTGAATCACTATGTTGTACACCTGAAACTAATGTAACGTTGTGTGTCACCTACAATTTAAAAATTTTGTATAAAAGAAAAGAAGTACTGATACATGCTATTCATGGGTGAACCTTAAAACACACTAAATGTAAAAAAAAGCAAGACACCAGAGACCTCATATTATAATACTTTATATGAAACATAAGAAAAAAAAAACCCTGCAAATCTGTAGAGACGGATTGGCACATGAGACAGGAGATAGGAATAGAGATTAAACAGCAAACAGGCATGCAGGGTCTAAGTAGGGTGATGAAAATGCTCCAGAATGGCTTATGGCAATGGCTGCACAGCATTTTTACCAGGAAATTTACTAAAAACCATTGAATTGTATACTTGAAATGGTGAATTATATGGTATGTAAAATATAACTTATATTATCAAATGCATTCCTGCAGTGCGTCAAAAGAATGATACACTATTATCAGGAAAGTCTTGTTCCAGAAATACAAGAATGATTGAGTTTCAGGAAATCTGTCAAATAATTATTATATCAATAACTTAAAGGAGAAAAAGCCATATGATCATGTCAATAGATGTATAAAGGGCATTCAGAAAGAATGTAGGAACCATTCATAGTTTTAAAACAATGATGTAAAATAGGGAGAGATGAAAACAGCCTAAATATAATAAAATTACTAGATGCTGTAGTGACTTTCATCCTTAATGGTCATACACTAAAACTGTATCAGTTCAAGCCAGAAACAGGGGTACACTATTTCACCCTAATTATTTAACATTGCTTTGAATGTTTTAGCAATTGTAATATTAATATTACATTAATGTAATAACTTATTATTTATTAAATACAAAATACAAGTGAAGTAATTGGCATACATATTAGAAATGTCAACTGTCCCTGTTTAGTGGTGATTATGATAATGATTATTATGCCAGTAACTAGAGTGGTCTAAGGGAATTTTGTAAAACAGGAAGTTATAATATAAGTATACAATAACCAGAATGTTTCTCTCTCCTCTAGCAAAATATATGCAAAATGGAAATTTAAAAATCCATTTCCAATAGCAATAAAAATCAAATGTTACATATTTTTGTAACATTTACAAAATGCTACAATAAAAATATATGTAATATGTATATTAAAAATGTATACTTAATAAAAGAAAGGCATAAGACCTGTATGGAGAAAGGTATACAACAAATGGAAAGGCTTCCTGAACGAAAGACTTAATGTCATAAAAATGTAAATTCTTCCAAAATTAATAAATAACTTAATGCAATTCATAATAGAATTTCAACAGGATCAAGATGGTGAAGGAGAATTAGGTAAATATATCTTAGGTTTATATGAAAAGTAAAGACTCAAAAACAATCCAGAAAACTATGAAAATGAACAGTGAAGGTATATTTAAATAAAAAATCAGAATGTCTCAAAAAACAATCAATGGAAAAGAATGAAGAATCAGAAAACCAGTCTCCTATATCCTGAGATATGTTTTTGAGAATGTAATGTATAACAGAGGTTCAATTCACTTGGAAATAGAGGGGATTGTTTAATAAATGGTGCTAGTATAGAACTGGCCAATCACCTGGAAGGAAACTAAAATATTCCTCAATTCATACTCTATTTAAAAGTTAATTAATTTCACATGGACAGATAGCCCAAGTGCAAGACATACAGTAATATAGGGGTAGGGAGGTGGATGGAGAAACCAACACAAAAAGAAAAACACATTGTTTAAAAGGCAGGATGAAACCATATCTGTGCATTTGCATAAAATTATGTAAGTTTTAAAAAAAGGGAGAGAGGCAAACCATGAGAGACTCTTGAATGCAGACAAAAACTGAGGACTGATGGATGGGGGGAGGAGGGTATGGGCATGGAGGAGGACACTTGTGGGAATGAGCACTGAGTGTTATGTGGAAACTAATTTGACAATAAACTATTTGTAAAAAAAATAATAATAATAAAAAAATAAAAAATAAAAAAATAAATAATGGGATTTAGTGAAGCACAAGGGATTTAAATTCTTTAAGGAGAATCACCATTTAGAGTTCTCTTTCACCTAAGAAACTGATAAGTTGTTTTTGCTGTTGTTCTTTGAGCACTGTTTAGACAGGTCAGGTAAACACAGTCATTAGTCAACTTCTATTTATAATTATTATTCTTCAAGTAAAATTATTTCTAATTGAAAAAGTAAAGTGATTTATTTTAGAAAATCTAAACAATATAGAAAAGCAGTAAAAATGATTATTTTAGAAGCGGCAGTTTCCCCAGTACCCAGAAATAAGCACCATTAAGGTTTTAGGGCATACCACTTATCCTACTCAATTTCTGTTTTTCATTGAAATTTAAAATGTAAATCTTATAGACATCACAGATTTTAGGTAAAAATAGATGTCCACACTTGGAGTTTTTCCTCAATGAGATCATTCCCATTTGTGAACTAACTATAGAGCTTATTCTTTTAATTACAATTTTCTTGGTCATTTAGTGTACATACTCACTATTCTTTTCTAGTTCCTGGCAGATATGGAAAATAATCCACTTTTCCGGGATGATATAGAATGTCAGAAACTTATTATGGAAGCGATGAAGTACCATTTATTACCAGAGAGACGACCCATGTTACAGAGCCCTCGGACAAAACCTAGAAAGTCCACGGTCGGAACACTATTTGCAGTTGGAGGAATGGATTCAACAAAAGGTATTAAATCATTTTCTATTTGGGAGAAAAGGGGAAAAAAGAACTTTAATTAGTCATACAGATGACCAAATAGCTTTTTTAGAGAAATGGCTGTTTCCAGGACTGGAAGAAGATGAGATAAACCCAGCACATCTTGTAGTGCCAGAAAGTAAGGAAGTGGTCAGTAACGGAGGTCAAGGACAGAAGAGGCCATTTGTAGGGCTGCCACTGTCCAAATCTGGGATGATTTCAATATCAAAATAGATAATGAGGATAAAAGATTATCGTTTAGTAAATCAGTAAGTATGTATGAGTTCACTCTGATACAAATAAAGATGGGAGAAGGGAAAGATTTTCTTATTCGAATGCCAACTAATAAATATAGAAGGAAAGATGGGACTAGAAAAAGTACTATTTGGCAAACATCTTGATAACTAATTCAGTCAAGAATCATCCACAGATGATATCCAGTTTGACAACAGGATAATTAGCCTCCAAGTATCTTCCAATCACTTGCTTAGTAGCTACAAAGGGTGAAATAGTATCTTGACAATGGAGAAACCTGGCAGACAGCACCTTAACCAAATGATCGATGTCTTATTGCCAGAAACGAGGATAATCAGTAGTGTGTGCCTCTTATGGGAGACAATAAGAAGAATTCAGCTGTGTATCTGCAGTTTTTCTTGCCAAAAGTGTATAATCCAAATGTAATCATGAGGAAAAAAACAAACAAAACCAAGTTGAGAGACATTCTACCTTGTCTCTCAAAATACCTTGTCTGTCTGTAGCTTTCCAAAATGCTAATGTCATGAAATACAGAGAAGATTCAGGAATTATTCCACATTTCAGGAGGCTGAAGAGATATGACAACTATTATAATGCATCATCTTGAATTTATTTTGCTATAAAGGACATAATTGGAACAAATAATGAGATCCAAATAATGGCTGTAGATTAGATGACAGCATTGTATAAATGTTAATTTCCAGATTTTGATCATTGTATTATGGTTTTGTAACAGGATTTCTTGTTTCGAGGAAGATACACTGAAGTATTTAGGGTACAGGGGCGTCATTTCTACAACCTAAACAGTTCAGGAAGAAAAAAATTGTACATACCTGTATATAGCTAAAGCAAATGTAAAATATCAGCATTTGGGAAATCTGTACCAAAGGTATCTGGGAATTCTTTGGATTATTCTTGCAACAGTTTTTACTAATAGTAACAATGATCGTAACAAATACCACATATAGTGCCTACTCAGTGCCAGGTATTGTGCTAAAAGCTTTCTGTGTACGATCTCTCAGTGTGCATTGATCTCCCTCTGAATTCCTAGTACTAATAGCCTGGAATCCCCTGACAACACCTCTCTGACTTCAGACTGCCTCTCTGAGCCCAGCTCATTCATTCTACTTCTCCCCTCACTCTTTGTGTTCTACCCCCACTGGCCTCCCTGTTCACATAACAAGCCCAAACATTATCCCACATTGAGGATATTACATTAGCATTTTCTTCTCCCTGGAATGCTGTGTGCCCTGATGTTGGAATGCCTCGCAGAAATTATTCACTTTGATTTCCAAACATCAGTTTACCAAAGAAGACTTCCATGGTAGTCATCACCTGTTCATTACTTTCTAATATTTGGCCTACCTCTTTCTATCTTGTTCCTCTGCTTATGTTTCTTCATAGCACCTGATCCATTGATTTATCATCTACTCTTACCCATAAGTAAGCTCTACTTGTTTATTTTTTCAAGAATATATTGCACAGAGCCTATTTCAGTGCCTTGCACATAGATAGCATCAATAAATATTTGCCAAATGAATGAAGGTTGTCCTTTGCCATCTCTTGAATTATTTGTATGACTTTAGCCCTTGACGCATTATTCACATCCAAAGGCTTCTTTTCTACTTGATATCTTTAAAGAATATAAAAATATGAGCTCTAATTGAAAATCTTTTATTGTGATTTAACTTTTAACCTCATGGTAACAAAGATATAGCTGTAGATATTATCCCACAGAACATAATGGAGTGCTGTGTATTTATAGCGGAGATTCTAAATATAGGCTTGATCGCTGAATGCTACAGAAATACACAAAGTTAGATAAGCGATGAGTGTTATAGTACACATATTTGAAATTTTTGGAGCGCTCTACAGTCCAGGTAATCAATCTGCAAATACTTATTAAGTGTTTACTATATGCTTGGAACTGGTGCTCAGCTTTGTAATCATTACTAGCACTTCTTTCCTCACCATCTGTCCCTCTCTTTTTCAAGGCTTTAACTGTTATTTCTGTATTGCTCATACCATTTTGTTGCTTTTATGCTCATATTTTCAACTTGTATAAAACATCTGTTTGTTGTGCAGCTTTCATCTCAAATTTTGTATATTCAAGTCTTCTCTGACCCATGTCTCCCAGAGTTGAGGACTCAGAACTGTAATTCATTGTTTTTCAGTGCATACCAACTCTGGCTCATTTAAGCAAATAAGGAAGGCTGTTGAGAAATTAGCAGGAACTATATCCACTGTACCTTCTTTATAATGCCTGCCTTAGATTTTTAAATCCTAGGTTTAAGCATCCATTTTTACCAGTTTTGGGGCAGTCCTGGGCCCTAAGCCTCCAAAGCTTAGGATCAATATCTGTCTTTTCAGCTTCATGGTAGATGGGTTCTTGTCTCTCATCAAAGCTCTTTCATACAGTGGAAAATTCCCCTTGCGTGAGAAGGAACTCAGATACTCAGTACCCAAAGTGAATAATACATCTCTCTCTTTCTTTCTTTTCATCCCTCCCTCCCTTCCCTCTAAATCTTACCTTCTGACAATCACCAAATATTCTTTCAAAGGGGTCTTGTTCTTCTAAATTTCCATTGTTACTTTCCAGTTCCAGGTAGCCCCCTATCAGCCTACATCTTTTGATCATGTTCATTTAACATGGCAATAGTATTCATTATGTTCATTGTGTTGTTACTATGTGCCAAGCGTTATGTTAAGCACTTCACCTATCATTTTTAATTTCATGTTCATAACAACTCTAAGAGTTGAATGTTGCTATTGCCCTTGGATACCTGGACTTAGAAAAGTTAACTACCTTTCCCAGGTGTACACAGCTAATTAGGGATGGAATCAGGATTCAGATCAGGCATTGACACGGGAAACTATACCTTCTGTTTCATTAATTCTTCTGTTAATACCCCCTTACTCTGCTCAAAAATTAGAATAGTCTTTACTTCTTACCACATAAGACATAAATTCCTCTTTTTAGGTTTGAAGACTTTCTGTAATCTAGCCATTACTACTTGACCAACTTCATTTCTGAGTCTTTCCTAGACATCAGTTACTCTTACCTTCTATCCTATTCAAGCTATCTTCCCTGGCCGTAACTTATATTGTATCCATGTCTTTATAGTAGTGAGCAATTTGCATTAATTGGATGGCAGTCTGATCATTGGGTTCCTGATCTCTTCATGTATCTTAGTGTAGAGCCTAACAAATAAACTGATAATGTTTCTAAATAACCACTAAGAAAATATTAGCATGTATTTCTGTTTACCTTTTTAAAGGCTAATCTTTTAGTATAAATCAAGGAAGTTCTAAGCTTTTACACAGAATTTTGTAATTATTAGGAATTTGTTATTAGCGGATATTTGTATTTTTTTAAGAATTATGTTTGGTGTTAGGAAAGGAAATTTGCTTATGAGTTCATAGGACTATGATACCGCCTAGTGAACTAAAAGTAAAAGAAAGAACTTAAAATGAAAGAAATATTCCTTAAATTCATAAGTGAGGAAAGATGACTAGCATCGCCTTTTTAATGGAATGAAGACATTTTTTCAGATCAAATTCAGAGTGATGAATAAAGTATACCATTATATAAAATAATCTGAGTGTATGAATAAAATCTTACTGTAGCTAAAAATTATGAAGAAGGATTATTCAAGCTCAAAAAATATTTTCAAACAGCTACTACATGCAAGAAACTCTATTGCTGTGAAGAATACAGAGATGGTAGGGCACCTGCTGGCTTGGTCAGTGGCACGTGGCTCTTGATCTCAGGGTTGTGAGTTTGAGCCCCATGTTGGGTGTAGAGGTTACTTAAAAATAAAATCTTTAAAAAAATAAAAAGAATACAGAGATGGAAAAAGACTTGGAATCTATTCCAAATAACTTAAGAATTTCATAAGTTAAATTAATAAACTAAAACCTATAATGTATGAGAAAATATATATATACAGTATTCTAAATATATTATATATGTAAATATAATACATATGTATAATATATATAACAAAACTTTCTAAATTTTAGAAGATTATTATTAGTACTCGTGCCCTGATGAACTAATTATAACAAATACTTCAGAATAAATGTTTGTTATGATTTCAATTCTGTAAAGATAGCTCTGACTGCATATTGTATTAGACACTTAGAGAGAATTGAAATAGATTCTAATTGATCTCTTCATAACTGGAAGTTGGATGTTTTTTTAGAAGTGTAGGGCCTTTAACTTTTCTTCTCATTTCATAAAGAAAACAAGTTCCTGGAATCTTCCAATTCTTAAAAAAATAAATAAATAATGTGGACAGGACCAGGCAGTTATCACCAGACTTCTCACATCAATAGTTTCCAGAGTCCATGATCTTCACTTAGGCTTTTGTCCAGGTTGCAGAATGTGTATCCTTTCCCTCCTCTTAGGAAAACCAGCTCCACATCTGTGATCTGACGCTGCCCTTTCCTGCTTCCTTAATAACCTCATTGTAAAGTAGGATCCCTTCTCTCCTATATTTTCAGCTGCTTTCCTCACAACTAGATCCTTCCCATTAACATTTAAGCAAACTCAAGTTTTTCCAGCTTTAAAGACAAAACAAAACCTCTCTCAACTGACCTAGTAATTTCTACCTTTCTCCTCCCTTTTATAGCCAAACTGTGCTGTTTTCTCATTTGTCTAAGTCTCTGCACCTATTTCTCTGTGTTAGGAAAGTCAACTCTGTCTCCTGTTGAGCCTTATAAAGAAGAGGTCTTATAGTACCCTGCAGTATAGTATACCCTGCTCCCCAGGGCCTGGTACTTCCAAGAGTATCTCCAGTGTGTGCTGCATGTGCTCTCCTGTTGTGTCCTGGCCACTTTATCCTTCATACCAATTGTCTACAGAGACTCTCTTTGATTGTTATGGGCAGTGTTTGGTCCCTGGCTTGTAAGTAGTGCATTTTAATTAGATGTGCTCTGGTTTGTTTGTGAAAAAAGACCTGTCACCACCGCCACTGAGCTGAGGCCTTGCAAAACTCTTTAGTCAGCAGATACAATGTTGGCAGGAGTTTGGGTCAGTCTTCTGGAGAAGAGTGGGGCCCCTGTGCTGGGACAAAGGCAAGTATGAATGGGAAGCACAGTTCCACTGGAGTTTGGGGGGGGGCCGGGCTTGGTGTAAGCTAGGTAGATGGTGAGTGTTGGCACTGTGCTGGTTCCTGCAGGTGGCCCTGTGCTTATGCTGAGGGGTGGGGAGAGAGAAATGGCACCTGTCAGTTTTTTTGTTACTAGATGGGTCTCTCCATGAATGCTGCCTCCCTGGGACATACTCCAATATAAGCAACTAACCTCTCAACTGTGTGTCTCCAGGTGCTCTTCAGATCACTGTTTCTATGCTGTATGTAAGATATGCTTTTCTCCAAGAGCAGCCCCCAATGTCCTTTAAGCTCTCCAAGAGTCAAGCACACTGACTTTTAAAACCCCAGGTTCTAAGCCTTGCTGGTTGCAAGAACTTATAAAATTCAGGCCCTCTCATTTTCTGAGCCAATTGCTAAGGGGATTTATTTTTCCCGTGCAGCCCCCTGTATGCTAGTTTGTCTCTCACTCTTCTCAAAGAACATGGCTCCCTCCTCACTGCATTGGCCATAATCCATTTCTCTCCCAAGCCATGTCTCCATACTTCCTTCCATCTTTGATGTGGCCTCTTTCCTATCCTTAGGAAAGTGGAGTTTGTTCTGCCAGTCTTCATACTGATTTCTGGGGTATTTAGTATCTGGTAGTTATTTAGTTGTATTCATGAGATGAGGCAAGCCTAGGGTTGTCTTATTCTGCCACCTTCTTCCTTCAAAACTACCTGCTACAATTTTTTTTTATTTTGGCTTCCATGACACTAAACTGCCCTGATTTTCCTCCCACTCCTAGCTGTCACAAATAATCCTTTCTCACCTGACCTTCTAATATAGAGCTTTGTGTATGCCCTGGAGAATAGTAGATGAGGTCAGAGACATAAGCAGGGAGCTGACCATTCAGGAGCTCAGTGAAATATAATAAAAGTATTATTGTCAATGCTAATAAAATTATACTTTTATACATATAAATTCACAAAATAATCAAATGTGGTGATTTTTTTTTATGTAACATCTATATATTACTGTGAAGGAGCAACGAGCATTGAAAAGTATGATCTTCGTACAAATATGTGGACTCCTGTAGCAAATATGAATGGGAGGAGACTACAGTTTGGTGTTGCAGTGTTAGATGACAAACTGTATGTGGTCGGAGGAAGAGATGGACTGAAGACTTTGAACACTGTAGAATGCTACAACCCGAAAACAAAAACCTGGAGTGTGATGCCTCCCATGTCAACCCACAGGCACGGCCTCGGTGAGTATAACCATGCATGTTCATTTATGATACCAAACATTAGGCCTCCACAGCATTTTTACATTCTGTGCCAGGCAGAGGAAGACCAATGTGGCAGCTGCTGAGTCAGCAGCAATCAGTCAGCAAGCATTCCTTCACATGCTCTTTAACTGAGAAGTAGAATCAGGAAAAACAAGCATATACAGAAATATAACAGCAACCAGCACAAGTAAAACCATGGATATTTAAGGATTTTAGGGTAACATGATGGGCTGGTAAGTCATCTTTTAAGTATGTGTTCTGTATTGGCAATCAGTGTTAATCTAACCTGACTGAAATGCTTATTTAAAAATCTTTAGTATTACTGTTTTTCATCCATACCTCCTGGTTTTTAAGCAGAAATGAGTAACAACCCAGGGAAATCTTGAGCTGGCACAGAGAATATAATGATAGAGACACTTCATTCTTTCATTCAATAATTCACTGACATTGACTAGCACGTTCTTTGTGCTGTAGGAATACAAAGATGAAGACACTGTCCTTACCCTGAAGGAACTGATGGCTCACTCTGAGATGATAGAAGATAATTTAGGGTCTTATATCAGATCATCTATCTTTTCAGATAGGAGAAAGAATCAGTGAAAAAAAAAAGAATTGTTTGATGAGTGAAGCAGATGGAAATAAAATTCTAAAAATTAGAAATGTATCTGTTTCACCCAGCTTTTATGGCATAATTCCAAAAGTGAGGGATTTAAAACAACAACTGCATATTTAGCTCATGGATCTGTAGGTCAGCTGAGCCATTTTTCTGATCTGGGCTGTTTGCCTTAGATGATTTCTGCTAGGTTCTTTCATGGATCTCTGGTGGGCTCACAGGTCAGCTAGGTGATCTAGGATAGCCTCATTCACATGTTTAGTGGTAGATAGGTTGTTGGCCGGAGGAAAAGAGACAGCTGGGCCACATGCCTATAATCATTCACCAGGCTAGCCAGGCCTCTTCACATGGTGCCAGATACAGGGTTTCAAAAACAGCAAGAGAAGGCAAGCCACAGTGCACAAAGAATTTTCAGGCTTCTGCTAGCATTGTGCTTGCTCATGTTGCACTGGCCAAAACAAGTCACGTAGACAAATCCAGATCCAAAGAGTAGAGAACAAGACTACATTTCTTATTTATGTGTGTGTGTGTGTGTGTGTGTATATATATATATATATATATATTTTTTTTTATATTGATATTTATTTGAGTCTTGTCGACACACAGTGTCACATTGATTCAAGTATACAGCTTAGTGATTTGACAAGTTTATACATTATGCTGTGTTCACTATAAGTATACCTGCTGTCTGTCCTGTCACTCATCCCATTTCAGTACCATTGACTATATTCCTTCTGCTATGCCTTTTATTCCCATGACTTACTCATTCAATAACTGGAGGCCTATATTTCCCTCTCCACCCATTTTGCCCAGCCCTCCGCCTCCCTCCCCTCTGGCAACTATCAGTTAATTCTCTGTATTTATAGTTCTTTTAAAAAAATTTTTTAGGGGCGCCTGGGTGGCTTAGTCGGTTAAGCGTCCGACTTTCGCTTAGGTCATGATCTCGCGGTTCGTGGGTTCGAGCCCCGCGTCGGGCTCTGTGCTGACTGCCAGCTCAGAGCCTGGAGCCTGTTTCAGTCTGTGACTCCCTCTCTCTCTGACCCTCCCCTGCTCACGCTCTCTCTCTCTCTCTCTCTCTCTCTCTCTCTCTCCTAGAAATAAAATATTTAAAAAAAAAATTTTTAATGTTTATTTATTTTTGAGAGAGACAGACTGCAAGTGGGGGAGGATGCAGAGAGAGGGAAACACAAAATCAGAAGCAGGCTCCAGGCTCTGACCTGTCAGCACAGAGCCCAATGTGGGCCTTGAACTCACTAACCTCGAGATCAAGACCTGGGCCAAAGTCAGACGCTTGACCAACTGAGCCACCCAGGCACCCCTGTATTTATAATTCTGATTTTGCTTTTTATTTGTTTATTCATTTCTTAGATTTCATTTATGAGTGGAATCGCATGGTATTTGCCTTTCTGAGTCTCACTTATTTCACTTAGCATAATACCCTCTAGGTCCATCCATGTCTCAAATGGGATGATCTCATCATTTTTATGGCTGTGTGTGTGTGTGTGTGTGTGTGTGTGTGCACGCGCGCATACCACACCTTATCCTTCATCTATTGATTGGAGGAGCTACAGAGTCACATTGAAAATAGGCATACATTCAGTGGTAAGACGAATTTGTGGCTATATTGTCAATTTATCACAGTTTGGAAAAGGTTTCAATTAATTGCAGTAAAGAATTTGATAGGTTATCATAAAAGATGAATTAAAAGATGGATGAGTAGCAATGAAGGCATCATTCAGTTTAGCTAGCATAGCTTTGTACTACATTTAATTTATGAATGCTGAGCGCCAGAGCAGAGGCTGCTCAAAAAAGCCAGTACCAATAATGTAAATTATCTAGGTATGAAGATTGGTGTGATAGTGGATACACCGAAAAATTCAAATAAGTGCTTCTACTATTTGTAATTAGGTTTCAGTGAAAGGTGATCTTGAGTTTCAAGTTTGGTAAAAAAGTAAAACCAGAGGGTTAGGGACAAGGTATTGAGAGGGGAGCTAAAAATTAGCTATATGAAATTTAATAAAGGAAACTATAAAATATTAATCTTGAGTCCATAAAATCAACTTATTACATAGGCAGAGAATGGGAAAGTATCTTAAAAGCTGTATGAATTAGACTTATAAACTTGAGTTGACCATAAAATCCAGGGTCAATAGCGTGATTCAACTGCATACTTTCCCCCACCATGGAGAAAAGAAATTTAATTTTAACTTAAGGTAAATTTTTAGAGTACATATAATGAGAATGCCCATCCAGCTATGTTTTGTGCAGATCAGATCGTGCAGAGAATACTGTCGTTAATTCAGGGTACCATTCAAGGCTTTATTGAGGCAAGTTCAGAGGAGAATGATCATGTAGTTCAAATGCCCTTTTTAAGTTTTTTTTTCAGATCTTTTGTTCAAAACAGCCTTGTTCTTACTAATTTATCCTACAATAAATCAATGTTATAAATTTGAACTTCTAAAAGAAATTCTTACATAGGAAACACTCCTTTTATCTCATATATGTGAGAATTACCTAAAGATTTCATTTTGAAGAAGTGGTTCTGCTGCTAAAATTTTCAAAGATACTGTTTAAGGAGTTGAATTAGATAGACTTATTATCTTTCCTTCCAGCCCTTTAATTAACTAGGCACACATACATATACACATATAATTGGATATATTTTATATATATTTGGAAGCGTGTGTGTGTGTGTGTGTGTGTGTGTGTGTGTGTGTGTGTGTAGTTTGTACATACTGGTCCCTTTACCTCACCTTCTCTTCTCTCAGATGTCTTTCTGTCTGGTTTCCTAATTTCATTCATGTTTTTGTTCAAATGTCATTTTATCTAAAAGGTCTTCCCTGACCCTTTCTACCCTTTTACTCAGTTCCATTTTTGTTATTAGCACTTATCAATACCTGAAATATATTTTGCCTGTTTCCTGATTGAAATATTAGGTCCATGATGGCAGGGCCTTTATCTGTTACCTTTTATTAAGATAACAGTGCTTGGCACTTAATAAAAACTAAATAGATATTTGGGAACAAAGGATTCTGGCTTCGTTCCCTGATGATGAATCACACCAATGATTGTGGTATCACCTCTGACTACAGTAAAATGTCATGAATTTGAATTAATAGGGGGAAATGAATAAAAATGATTTTTCAAACATATCTTAAATCTGAATTAATCTGAATTATTGAAAAATCTTTTATTTAAAAAATTTTTATAATAAGGAGGATTTATTGGGGCACCTGGATGGCACAGTTGGTTAAGTGTTGGCTTTAGCCAAGGTCATGATCTCACGGTCTGTGAGTTCAAGCCCTGCATCAGGCTCTGTGCTGACAGCTTAGAGCCTGGAGCCTGCTTTGGTCTGTGTCTCCCTTTCTCTGCCCCACTTATACTCTGTCTCCCTCTGTCTCTCAAAAATGAATAAATGTTTAAAAAATTTTTTAAATAGGGGCGCCTGGGTGGCTTAGTCGGTTAAGCGTCCGACTTTCGCTTAGGTCATGATCTCGCGGTTTGTGGGTTCGAGCCCCGCGTCGGGCTCTGTGCTGACTGCCAGCTCAGAGCCTGGAGCCTGTTCTAGTCTGTGACTCCCTCTCTCTCTCACCCTCCCCTGCTCACGCTGTCTCTCTCTCTCTCTCTCTCCTAGAAATAAATAAAACATTTAAAAAAACATTTTTTTTTAAATAAGGAGGATTTATTTTTTTAAGTATTTTTTAAGTTTATTTATTTATTTTGAGAGTGAGAGAACACAAACAAGTGTGAGGGGCAGGGAAAAGAGAGACAAAATCCCAAGGAGGCTTCATGTCATTAGCACAGAGCCAGATGCGAGGCTTGAACTCACCAATCATGAGATTCTGACCTGAGCTGAGATCAAGAGTCAGGTGCTTAAAAGACTGAACCACGTAGGTGCCCCTATTTTTTAATTTTTAAAAAATTTTTATTTATTTTTGAGAGAGAGAGAGTAGAGGAGGAGCAGAGAGAGAGGGAGACAGAGGATCTGAAGCAGACTCTCTGTTGAAGCCCAATGCTGGGCTTGAACCTCTGAGCTGCAAAATCATGATCTGAGCCAAAGTCAGTTGCTTAACCTACTTAGCCACCCAGGCACCCCAAAAATTCTTTTAGATATGGCAGTGTGTGTATCTTGTATAGTTATAAATAAGTTTCCACTGTTGGACCTCAAGATACTGCCTCTAAAATTTATAAGACCTGGGGCACCTAGTGGCTCACTTGGTTGAGTGTCCAACTCTTGATTTTGGCTGAGGTCACAATCTCACAATTTGTGGGTTTGAGCCCCACGTCAGGCTTTGCACTGACAGCACAGAGCCTGCTTGGGATTCTGTTTGTCTCTCTCTCCCTCTGCCCCTGTCCTGCTTATGCACATTCTCTCTCTCTCTCTCTCTCTCTCTCAAAAATAAATAAACATTAAAAAACTCTTACAAGACCAGGGCTATAGTGCTATTTCCCCCCTCCCCCACCCTCCTACCACCAAGAAGAGCTGTATGGCAACCAGATATCTTTATTATAAATGTTTCCTTAGTTAAATTGGCATGTTTAAGGTTCATTGTACCACCCAAAGCAGTCTACCAATTCAATAAAATCCCTTTCAAAATTCCAATGACATTTTTCAAAGAAATAGGACAAATAATTCTAAAATTTGGATAGAATCGCACCAAAAAAACCAGAATAGCCAAAACAGACTTGAGGGAGGACAAAGCAGAGCATCATGCCCCCTGATTTCAAACTATACTACAAAGTTAGAGCAATTAAGACATTATGGTATTTGGCTTAAAAACAGACACACAAATCACTGGGCCAGAAATAAACCCATGCATATGTGCTCAACTAATTAATATACAATGAAGGAACCAAGAATATACATTGGGGAAAGGACAGTCTTCAATAAATGGTGATGGGAAAACCAGATAGCCAACGTACAAAAGAATGCAGGTGGACCATTATCTTACAGCAAGCACAAAAATAAACTCAAAATGGACCGAAGACTTGAGCATAAGACCTGGAACCATAAAACTCATAGATGAAATCATAGGTAGTGTATTTATATTTCAGTTGAAATGTGATCTTTAAGACTTAGTGGACAATCTTAAGTCATTGCTGCTTTGCTGTCTCCTTGTAGGTGTGGCTGTATTGGAAGGCCCCATGTATGCAGTAGGAGGACATGATGGCTGGAGCTACCTGAATACAGTGGAAAGATGGGACCCTCAGGCTCGTCAGTGGAATTTTGTTGCCACTATGTCCACCCCCAGAAGCACAGTAGGTGTGGCTGTACTAAGTGGAAAGTAAGGAAATATTTAAAATTCCATTTAAAACACAATAAATTTATTGACCTACATCATCTGACTTAAAAATATTCATAAATAAATTACAAAAGAGAAATACTTTCTTTGAGTGATACAAACTTTTAAAATCGTCTCAGGGTGCTTGGGTGGCTTAGTTGGTTAAGCGTCTGCCTTTAGCTCAGGTCATGATCTCACGGTTTGTGGGTTTGAGCCCCGCTCGGGCTGTGTGCTGACAGCTCAGAGCCTGGAACCTGCTTTGGAGTCTGTGCCTCCCTCTCTCTCTGTGCCCCCCCCACTTATGCTCTGTCTTTCTCTCTCTCAAATATAAACATGAATTTTTTTAAATAATAGTTTTTTTTGATAGTCTCTTTTTATCACAGTTCTAAATATAAAAATAACTCAGCAATTTGAGGCTTCCATTCTAATGTGCAGATATTATAAATTTCAAGTTATTTTACATGAAGAAACTTTATATAAATATTCAATATAGTAGAAACCTGGTAGTTCATATAACTTTATTTTTTTTTCTTAGTTTATTGTCAAGTTGGTTTCCATATAACACCAGTGCTCATCCCAACAAGTGCCCTCCCATATAACTTTAGAGGTATATAGTGTTTTAATTTTTTTTTTATTTTTGAAAGGGCACAAGTGGGCAAGGGGCAGAGAGAGAGTGGGGGACAGAGGATCTGACATTGGCTCTGCACAAAGCAATGAGCCCGATGTGCAGCTTGATCTCACAAACTATGAGATCATGACCTGAGCCGAAGTTGAACGCTCAACCAACTGAGCCACCCAGGTGCCCCAAAAGTATATAGTGTTTTAAACATAGTATAGGCCCTCTCAGTGTTTTTGTAAATAATTCCTTCCATCTCTTCTGACTTATCTTTACATTTACTTCTTTCTTATCTTGGGAAACTGCAGCAAACTGAAATGGATTTAGAAAGGTACAGTCCTGGCTCTTGCCTGCTCGCACTAGAGTAAACAGATTTGGACAGAGCCATCACCAATAGCTCTTAGTAACTCAGAGACTTAAGACATACCAAAGGTTTTTCTTCCATAAAATGAAGCTCTATATGATTATTAAAATAAAAGTTGTTTGTTGCATACCATTTACTCATTTAAAATGCTTTATTATCACTTTCAGAAAGGGGAAGGAATCAAAGTTAAAATATAGAGACCAAAAATTATTTGAAATGTGTTACGGATTGGTTGGCAAAACAAAAATGAGAAAATATTAGTAAAATGTTTATACTTTATGACCCAAGGTCTTATTTCCTCAGAACTTACTAGTTATGTCCCACTTTTTAAAATGTATCTGATCTCCATACGCCTTTCTTCATTTGTTGTAGCTGAAGAAAGAACTTCAAAATTTATCTTTCCTAAGTCTTTGATAGCAGAGTTAGCTACCAAAGAATCTAGTAAATGAGAAAAAAGAAAACTAATAGTATCTTTTCAGTTTTGACCCTTCAGTTAAAACTTCTGGGATTAGTTTATTGAACTAATTCTCGTTCATTGACATATTTCTTAGCACTTATTCCTGGCTAGAAAAATTTCTTTTCTGACAGTACAAAAGAAAAACTGCTTTACCTAAAATCTTATGCCTAGTCCTACAGCAGCTTTGACTCCCAGACATGGAGATATCTTACTTGCCTCCGTCCACCCCTCTCCACCTCTCTCTCCTCTACCCATGCATATACGCTCCAGTGGAACTAACTTATTTGTGAAAAATACATTTTGTTTCACACTTTCATTGTCCTTTAACCCATCCCATCTGTCTTAGAGTGTTGTTCCCCTGGTTTGATACCTGGAAAATTCAGCATCCTTGAAACTTACTCAACTGTCGTCTCTGGAAAACTTCCCTCAGTGTCCCCCTTGTCATAGTAATTGTCCATTCCATCCTCTGCATTTTTACTGTGCATAATTTGTATATGATTGTATTGTAGCAGGTACCACTGTATTGTTGTTATTTACTCATCCATCTCCTACAGTATATATCATTGTCTTGAGTGACCTGGTCTAACTTGTTGTTCCTTACACCTAGAATGGTACCTGGAACATAACCTGAAGTGTGCGATTTTATTGAAGAATGTCCTGTTACCATTTAGATGCCTTGGTACTTTAATCACAACTAACCTATCAACTTAGCATGTTTCTAAGCATGCTTTAAAACAAAGTAGCAAGATTTTAAAAGATTTTGTTAGTTTCCATTTTTTAAGTTTATTTATTTTGAATGAGGGTGGGGGGAGGCAGAGAGAGAGGGAGAGAGAATCCCAAGCAGGCTCTGCACTGACAGCAGAGGCTCGAACCCACAAATTGTGAAATCATGACTTGATCCAAAATCAAGAGTCAGAGACTTAAGTAACTGATCCACCCAGGTGCCCCTGTTTTCCATTTTCTATTCTGAATTAATTACTATTTTTGTTATTTTGATCTTATTTTACAATGCTTTCTGATGCAAAATATAATTGTTTCATATATATATATGTTTCTTTAGAGAAGAACTGTTTGAGTATTCTTTATAAGTTATATCCTATATCTTGAAAATGTCCAAATGTTAAAATTTCTTTCGCTACCATGTTTGAAAGAAGCTTTATCTAGAATTCCAGTTGCTCAGGCTACTTTTAAACTACTGGCTGGCAAATATTTATTGGCAGTAGAATCTCTTTTTCAGATGAAACCTTATAAAAATCTAAATACTTAAGGCAAATTGGAATTGAAGCCTATAACATGTACTTATTATAAAAATCAGTGTAGAAGAACTACTGTTTTTAAAAACACCCAGATTATTTCTGTGCTGTTGTTGTTGTTGTTCAGTATAAAGAAAATCCTGATTCACAGATCAGCTGAAAATGATAAATTATTTTAACTAATAGAGCAATTTAATTGGAATCTCAGGAAACCTTTCAGTTAAACTGTTAGTGTAGTTTGAAAGTAGTAGAATTTTTTTTCTGTTAAATCTCAATGTCTACCAACCCCTTGCATTCTTGATCATAATTTTAAAGACAGGTAAGATATGTCTTATTTTAAAGCATACAGTATAATACGATTTGGCACAATTTCACGATTTGACATAATGTTTATCTTTTTCCTGTAATAGATACTGTCATGGGGAAGAAAGATGAGTTGTGAATCTTTCATAGCTTTTAATTGAGCCAAGTGACATTTTTGAAAATTAATTAAAACAAATTTCAAATGCACCATTTTTGGGACCTCCTCAAGTCCTCCTATTGCTTGAGATAATGTTTCTTGAGAAAGTGTTATTGTTACATTTTAGCCCTTAACATTAGCTGAGGATAAACGTCATTTGGACGCTTAAGATCTAAAAATGCCTTTTTACCCAGTTCGTTAAATGTCCAACTTTTGATTTCAGCTCAGGTCAATATCCTGCGGTTTGTGAGATGGAACTCCACATTAGGCTTCATGCAGACAGCCCAGAGCCTGCTTGGGATTCTCTGTCTCCCTCTCTCTTCTCCCCTCCCCTGCTTGCATTCACTTGTGTGCTCTCTCTCAAAATAAATAAACATTGTTTTAAAAAAATTTTTTAAATGACACTTTCTAAAAGAATACAAATAGAGATAGAATTTCTTTTTCCCCTTAAACACTTATACCATTGTAAGGCACTATTCAAAGTATTTTTAAATTTGATCACCAATAACCCTATGAGGCAGGGTTTAGAGATGTTTGGGATGATGAAATTCAGGCAGGTGGAGGTTAAATAACTCTCCACAGTCAGAGCTAATGAGTGTTAGAACCAAGATTCAAATCCAGAGAGTCTGACTCTTAAGTTCACCTCTTAATCCCTGTACTGCACCACTTTTCCTAGTCAAGACCCATGAGTTCGCTGTGAAGAGGGGTTGTGCCTGAGTCCTATTGTTGGGTGTCTGTGTGTGTGTACGTGGTTTTTTAAATTATGAATATTTTCTAATTGTTGATGTCTTCTAAATATTCTGCGATCCCACATTCAGACAATTATTCTACAAGTATTAGTTAAAAATGAGAATAGTTTAACATTAACAACAATAACACAAGAAAGCGGTTTTAAGAGATAAGAAAAATTTTAACAAAGTTTCAAATAAATTTCAATTTACATACAATTAATATAAAGTTTAGATAGAATAAGATATTGCTACAGCCACATGTTGCTATTTAAGATATGATCTTCTCAATTAAGAACCAGTTTGAATCAGTGATCATAGGGGAAGTACAAATCAAAACTACAATGAGGTATCATCTCACACCTGTCAAAATGGCTAAAATTAATAACACATGAAACAACAAATGTTGGCAAAGATGGAGAGAAAAGGAAACCCTCTTTCACTGTTGATGGGAATGTGAACTGGTGCAGCCACTCTGGAAAAGAGTATGGAGATTCCTCAAAAAGTGAAAAACAGAACTACCCTACAATCCAGCAATCGCACTACTAAATATTTACCCAAAGGATACAGTAATACTGATTGTAAGGGATACATGCACCCCAATGTTTATAGCCACATGATCAACAATAGCCAAATTATGGAAGGAGCCCGAATGTCCATCAGCTGATGAATGGGTAAAGAAGATGTAGTATATATACATGTGTATATGTGTACATATATATACATACATGTGTGTGCGCACACACACACACATACACGATGAAATATTACTCAGCCTTCAAAAAGAGTGAAATCTTTCTATTTTCAATGACATGCATGGAGCTAGAGTGTATTATAGTAAGCAAAATAAATCAGAGAAAGACAAATACCATATGATTTCACTTATATGGAATTTAAGAAACAAAATAGATGAACATAGTGGGATAAAAAGATGCAAACCTAAGTTTAGGTAACAAACTGAGGGTTGCTAAGCAGGAGGGTAGATGGGTACTAATGGATGATGGGTATTAAGGAGGACATTTGTTGTAATGAGCACTGGGTATTGTATGTAAGTGACCAGTCACTAAATTTTACACCTGAAACTAATGTATGTTAACTAACTGGAATTTAAAGAAAAACTTGAAGGTTAAAAAAAGAAGAAAGAAAAAAGAACCACCTTAAGTGGCATAGTGTACTTTACATTATGAATTAAAGTTAACAAATGTCTTGGGGCACCTGTGTGTCTCAGTCAGTTAAGCGTCAACTCTTGGTTTCAGCCCAGGTCTCCTGATCTCACAATTCAGGAGTTTGAACCCCGTATTGGGCTCTGTGCTAACAGTGTAGAGCCTGCTTGGGATTCTCTCTGCTCCTCTCTCTCTCTCTCTCTAAGATAAATAAATAAACTTAAAAAATGTCTCTAAAATGTGTATTTACATAAATATAAATATTTAGAGTTTTAATTGGCAGACATTTGGTATAGTTCAGATATTATTCCTTGAGGTTAAAAAAAAAATCGTTAAAAAAATAGTTAAATCTTAACTAAGGCATCTGTAAATCCAAAATGTGAGGACTTTTACATAAGCAATGAACTGATATTTTTACTTTTTTGAAAAAACTATTAGGAAAATATCTACAAAGAGCTTTCCAAGTGAATAGTAAATACAAGATTTTGTGCTAAATAAAAATATTCAAATGCTCAGATATTTAAAATATTTTATATGTATTTTAAGTTCAGAGTAAAAGACTTAAATTAATGAAGTATATTGATTGATAATGAATTAAAATTTATCTACTAGGTAACATTTAGGACATTAACATACCATATTCATTTTCAATAACTTACAGTATCCTACTGTGCAGTAATTTGAATTAATGAAGGATCACTGTTCACATGTAATAAATATTTGTACACCACTGTTTCAAGCAATCCTTTTATCCTCCTATTCCACTAGTACAAGAACATCCCAGGTGACTGCTCACCATACAACTGCTCATTACTATAACTGTGCCCTGGTTCTGCTTCTGACCCTGTATTAGCCTCTTAATCTCCATGAGCCTGTTTCTTCACCCATGAAACAGGAATATAAATGGTTTCTCAGCTTCATTGATATGATTAAATTAATACAGGTAAAATGTCTAGCCTGTTAGTTTCTTTGCTTTATAACCCGATCCTATCTTAGCTATTTAAGAAATAACTCATGGTGTATTTATATACCACATTTTATTTATTCCAAGACACATTTTATACCTCTAAAATTGTGCTGCATCTTAAAATCAGCAGTGACCTGCCAAACAGATGGTAGCTTTGAAATAGTGGTCATTGCTTTCATGTCTTCTCTTTTTTTAATGTTTATTTATTCATTTTGAGAGACAGAGATAGAGAGTGTGTACATGTGAGCAGAGGAGGGGCAGAGAGAGAGACAATCCCAAGCAGGCTCTGTGCTATCAGAGCAGAGCCTGACATGGGGCTCAAACCCGTGAACCATGAGATCACGACCTGAGCCAAAACCAAGAGTCAGATACTTAACCAACTGAGCCACCCAGACACCCCTCTTCTTTTTTATACAGAGTGATATCTGTATGTGTGTGAGTGTGTGTATGTGTACATGGTATGTATGTATGTGTGTATATATATAATATATATAATACATAAGTCACGTAATTGGTAGCATATCTTCTTTCTTGATGGTGTATAAATTGATAGTATGTTTTATAAGCTATGGCACCTGAAATTCAATGAAATACCATAAGAATAACCTCTGTGTCTTAATCATAATGACGGCACTGTTTTTTACAGACTCTATGCAGTTGGTGGTCGTGATGGAAGTTCTTGCCTCAAATCAGTAGAATGTTTTGATCCTCATACTAATAAATGGACACTCTGTGCACAAATGTCCAAAAGGAGAGGGGGAGTCGGAGTAACTACCTGGAATGGATTGCTGTATGCTATTGGAGGACATGATGCTCCTGCATCCAACTTGACTTCCAGACTCTCAGACTGTGTGGAAAGGTAATTTCTTGTGAAGGGAACATCCACCATATGCAAAGCAGTTCCTTCAGAGCTTTGTAAACACTGGCTTGCCCATCTCTCATTCTCTCCCTAATGCCTACTCAGATTCTTTTCTCATCATATTACTGCCTACTTAAAATGTACCTTAGAATTGATTATATAATTTATTAATTGAGTCAAATGACAACCATTTCTTATGTACGTATTGTATACTGGACACCATGCCTGACAAGAAAAGGAAGGAGGTCAGTGAATTTCAGAGAGAAGGAATGGGGGGCTGAAGAAGTGGAAAGGAGAGGAACTTACTAGCATATTTTCATATAAAATGAAATAACATGAAATATAAAAAGACTAAGAGAGTTTAAAAGGTTAATAAACAAGTCATCCAAACTGGCCTCGTGAAACTCAAATATGGGCCGGTGAAGAGCTTAACATCAGTGGACGATTTGGACAATACTTCAGGCTCCTGTCTGTTACTATTAGTCTAATTTAAGGAATGGAGAGAATTGAATGGATTTAGGAGGCAGAATTAATGGGAACATTACAAACACTCCAAAGCAGAAAGGAATATGGTTCATTCGGAAAATTGAAAGGCAGACACTGTGGCTGGAGAACAAAGAATGAGGACAGAGTGTCAGGAAAGGAGGCAGAGGGTGGAGGTAGGGGCAGATCACATAGTCTTTAAGGCCTTATTTAAAGAGTCTAGATTTTAAAAGAGCAACAGGAAGTTAGTGTGTGTGTGTGTGTGTATGTGAACATTATTTAATTATACTTGATTGGAAGAAGAATAAAAAGTGAAGTGCAGGTTTGATGGCAGTGAGTGAATGAGTGCTTTCTGTGAAATAGTAAGGAAGGTTGGTTGTCTTTTGAGAAAGTAGGAAAGTTATACCTGGATTTCCCCTGTATTTGGGGAAAGTAATTCAGACTATGCTTGTTACATGTTATATTCCAGAAAAGGAATACTGAAGCCTTTGTATACTTTACCCTATAAATTACAGCTCACTGCAGTACTGCACCCAATGAAAAACTGTTCATTGATGCAAGAGGTATTACAAGCAAGATGGGTCATTGTAGCATGATGTATCTGCTCTTAGATAGACAATTTTGGGCTGTTCTAGTTAATATATTTCATGAAAGGAACAAGAAGTTTTGAAAATGGACAGCTATAATGATTGAGTCTGTAAGCCATCTTACACAGAGCTTCATGTATTGATTTCCTCAGATTTTCAGTAGACAATCAAAACCCGTAAAGCAGTTTTCAGTATTTACTTTAGCTCTTTTGGATAGTTTAAGTGTCATGGATTTATTAAATGAAACTATAATATTGTAAGTTAAAAGTTTTCAGGAAAAGCTTTTTTTTTTTTCTAAAAATATGTCCAAATGTACTTTAGATAGCAGTAATAAGATAAAGGGTAGGCTTTAAGAACTAAACTATTTTTTTTTAATGAAAAACCTTTTAATGTTACACATGGAAAGAAAAAGTCAATTGAAACAAAAACATGTTCTGAAATAGGCATCTGGGACCTAAGACCAAAAAGTGAAATATTTAGAAGATCAGATGCAAACTAAATTGTTAAGAGTGGCTACCACTTGATTCTGTAACTAAAGTTGGAATGAAATGAGGCTAGCTATTGCTTTTTTACATATTTTTGTAAAAAAAAAAGAATTTTGTATATGAATTTTCGTTACAAGAATGTATTCATTCTTTGCTAATAGGAAATAATTATAATAATGAACCCGTCTTTAAGATGACATTTATCATATGCTTACTATGCATTCTCTCATTTAATTTTCAATGCTATGTGGTGAGCAATTTTTTTACCAATAAAGAAACTATGATTTAAAGATTTTAAGTAACTTTATAATACCACAGAGCTAGTGATTGGAAGAATAGGACTTGAAATTGTTCAGTCCAAATCCAAAGCCCATTCTCTAACCACTTTGCTATACTGCCTCTCCCAGGTGTTTCTAGATATGTAGGTGTTCTTTTACGGAGGTATAATTGTCATATTAATCTCAGGTGTATAACATAATGATTTGACATTTGTATGTATTGAGAAATGATCACAATAAGACTAGTTAACATCCTTCACCATATACAGTTACAAATTTTTTTCTTATGATGAGAACTTTGTACCTTAGCAACTTTCAAATAAAAAGCACAGTATTATTAACTATATCACATATAACTATATATGTAATGTTTTGCATTACATCTCCATGATTCGTGTATTTTATAACTATAGAAATTTGTACCTTCTGATCCCCCTCCCCCATTTCAACCCCCCATGCCCTACTTCCAGCACCCACCAATCTATGAGTTCAGGGTTTTTTGTTTTTGTTTTAGAATCTACATGTTAAGTGAGATCATAGGTATTTGTTTTCTCTGACTTATTTCACTTAGCGTAATACCCTCAAGGTTCATCCATGTTGTTGAAATAGCAAGATTTCATTCTTTTTTATGGCCAAATAATATTCCTCTGTGTGTGTGTGTGTGTGTGTGTGTGTGTGTGTGTTCGTTCTAGATGTATTACATTTTTATCCATTCATCCATTGATGAACACTTAGGTTGTTTCCATGTCTTGGCTACTATAAATAATGCTGCAGTAAACATGGGGGTGCAGATATCTTTTCAAATTAGTGCTTTCATTTTCTTTGGATAAAAACCCAGAAGTAGAATTACTGGATCATACAGTATTTCTATTTAAAATTTTTGAGTAATCTCCATATTGTTTTCTATAGCAATTGCACTAACTTACATTCCCACCAACAGTACATAAGTGTTCCCTTTCCTCCACATCCTCACATACACTTGTTATTACCTTTTTGGTAACAGCCATTGTGGTTTCAATTTACATTTCTCTAATGATTAGTGATGTTAAGCACCTTTTCATGTATGTATTGGCCATCTAGATGTCTTCTTTGGGAAAATGTCTATTCAGACCCTCTGCTCATTTTTAATTGTTTTTTTTGGGGGGGCGGTTTTGGTTATTGGGTTGTATGATTCTTTATATCTTCTAGATATTAACTTCTTATCAGATGCGTGATTTGGAAGCATTTTTTCCCATTCTGTAGGTTGTTTTTTCATTTTGTTGATGGCTTCCTTTGCTATGCAGAATCTTCTTAGTTTGATGTGGCCATTTGTGTTTGTGTAATTTTTACCTTTGTTGCCTTTGCTTTTTGGTGTCAAATCCAGAAAATCATTGCTGAAACCAATGTCAAGGATCTTACCCCCATGTTTTCGTCTAGGAGTTTTATGGTGTTAGGTCTTACGTGCAAGTCTTTCATCCATAAACTATTTTTACATAAAAATATTGTGAGGACAATGTCAGCTCCAGTTCTAAAATTTCCTTTCAGATATGACCCCAAAACAGATATGTGGACTGCGGTGGCATCTATGAGCATCAGCAGAGATGCAGTAGGGGTCTGTTTACTTGGTGATAAACTGTATGCTGTTGGAGGCTATGATGGACAGACTTATCTTAATACAGTGGAAGCTTATGATCCCCAGACAAATGAGTGGACCCAGGTATGGCATTTCATTTTTCATTATTACACCTCTCTGTTTTTATTAAAACCATTTGTTTGGTAAAACTGATCCTCTCAATTTTGTCCAATATCGAAATATATAGCATAAGCATAATAAAGTCATCTCTTAATTAAATATATGAAAACAAGAAGAACTGCTTAATTTTATAGCATAATTACATATAAGTACATACATAAAATACAAAATTATCTTTGAAGTGTAAGTTAATACTCAGGGAAATTATTAATAGTTTTGATCTGCCACCATTTGCTTGCTGGGAATTGATGAGATATTCCAGTATTGCTGAAACAGATAGGACCACACAAGAGCTATGGTAAAAAGAGGGGTAGAACATAAGAAAAAGATAGAAGTTAGAAAAATTTGAACCATTTATCCATATGTGAGCAATAATTTTTAAATACTCAAGCTATTGATATCTGGGAGAAGATCAAATGTCTGGTCATCACCAAATAAAAATGACAATCTTAAATTATAGTAACAAGTCTTGACCTGGCAACTTTATTAACAGAATTCCAAGCATGTCTATTTCTGGAGGGCCTACCACTACTAACAATGATCTTTTGAGATCCTTGTTTCCATCATTACCAAGAACAGAATTAGAAATTTTGTGACCCTGTTCAGTATCTGGTACTGAAAGATGCTCAAATGTTTAGTTGAGCCGAGGTTTTCCTACATACAAGGAGCAATGGTAAGTACTGTCAAGAAAACAAAACTTTAAAAGAATCCCCACTGTCATACAACTTAGCTACCTAAGTAGGTATGGTCTGCATTGTGGGGAGAACCCACAATGTAGAACAGTTGGTGGGAAGTGCCCCGTGGTATAGGCATTGTGTGGTATAGGAAGTCAAAGAGAAAAAATGAAATGGTTGTTGAGGGCTTTAGTGAGGAAAAGCTGGACTTAAGCTAAGCCTTAATGAATTGATCCAATTCAAAAAGGTAGAAAGAAATGGGAAATTGTGTGAGAAAATACAAAAGAAATGTCACCGAAGCAGAAATATGCAGGATAATTGAGGAAGGGTGGCTGGTTATATGGATCCATGCTTAGTAAGAGTGGGAGTTCCTGTTAGAAAGCCAAGGTTGGGGTCAGGATGGAGGTCTGTGAAGGCCATGCTTCAAAGAGTTTGGTAGTAGAAGCCAGTGGAGACTTTTACCAGGAGAGTGATACAGCAATAGAAAATTTGCCACAGCAATGTGGCAGTTGGGGACAGGATAAGTTGGGTTAGGGGGAGGGTAAGCAAAGGCTGGATAAAAATAAAACATTTAGAAGATTGCTTCACTTGTAAGGTTTGAGCTATCAACTTTATAGATGAATTCGGGAGATATTACCAAGTCCTATCTATTCTTTCTTTTTACACTTACTGTAAAAGTGGGTTGGATTGAAGGTGAAGAAAACAGTGTCTTAGATAAGATAATGGAATAGAGCAGTTTTTAAAAATTAAATGTTTATAGGGGCGCCAGGGTGGCTTAGTCGGTTAAGCGTCCGACTTTCGCTTAGGTCATGATCTCGCGGTTCGTGGGTTCGAGCTCCGCATCGGGCTCTGTGCTGACTGCCAGCTCAGAGCCTGGAGCCTGTTTCAGTCTGTGACTCCCTCTCTCTCTGACCTTCCCCTGCTCACGCTGTCTCTCTCTCTCTCTCCTAGAAATAAATAAAACATTAAAAAAAAAAAAAATTAAA